CATGTTTGGTGGGAAGGGGATTCGAACCCGCGACCCGCAGATTGCGAGTAGAGCACCCTAACCAACTGGCCATGCCGGGCCATCCATATTAATTGACTCACAGACATTTTCATGTCTTTTATGATGATTGTTTCGTATGTCTTTTCCATACGTGCTTTTAGAACATCAGATTTTATATTCATAATTTTTTCTATGTTTTTTTTTATGTGGACGGTCAGGGTTATGGACTAGTGGGTAGCATGCCCGGATTGAGAATCCGACGGTCTATTGTTCGTGTCTTCTTGCCACTATCTCGCACTCCGCACATTGAGAACATGGATGATTTGTTCAGTCAGGAATGAGTAGCTCAAGAGTTGACGGTGAGTGCTTTCGACTAGCTGCCTTTCTCTAGTCTATCAGTTCAAAATTATACACTGCCAGACAGACCTTACGTAACTTTGCACGAAAATTCTTGAAAAAAAAACAAACTTATCCTACGTTAATGTTTAAAAACATTTAAGATTTAAAAGTATAATAAAGGTCATTTTTTTTACTCTTAATTTAGTAGCCAAATGTGCCTGAAAAAAAATTATAACATTTACAAAACTTGAAAAATATAATAATCACAATTCATTATTAAAGGTACACATTCGGTTCTTTGCCATTCAAAAGTTAATATATTTAAAACCAGTACATTATAATTAGAAGATTCTAAATGATAATCAGTAATCTTTTGAACTTGGTAACAGAAACAAAATATACAAATCATCAAATATTTTTCTTGATTTACATATTTCTTTTATTTCTCAATAATTATGGCCCGAGAGTGTCCGAGTGGTTAGTTTATCGGACTGGGGATGTAAAGGTTTCGGGTTCGATACGTGGTACTACCAAATATGCTTTGCATTTTCAGCTGTGTGTGTGTGCGTTATAAAATCGTACTATCCGGTTAAGAATAGTCGTTTCATGCACTAGGTGCTTCGACTGATTGCTTCCCCACTGGTCTGGAGTTCAAATTAGGGATAGCTATTTCCAAACCATAAGGTTCTCTTATCTGACCTATTTCTATAAAGTGTTAATTCGGTGAAAAATAAGCTAATAGGGATCGTTGTTTTATATTCTTTTTTTTTAATCTTTTCTAAATTTTACATAAAAGAGCTTTATGCATGCATTTTGTTAAACCAGTGTCAAGATCAGTAAAAAGAACAGCAGAAGGACTGAAAATATGAGGTTATAGCCCCTTGGGTATAGATTTGTCCGAAAATTCTAAACATCAGACAAACAAACAAAGCTAACTTGCATAGTTTGTTTTAGATTTTTTCCATACTGCTTTAACAAATTGAACAGCATTTAAAACTCTGCTATTTGGAGAAAGTTTGCGAAAAAAAAATGAAGTGAAAGAATAATAGACAGCGACACAAGTTTTATAAACTTAGCAATTTATTTATTTTAAACGACCTCTAGTGGCTTGGTGAATTTTCGTTTCTTTGTTGATAGGTGTAAAGCTACACAAAGAGCTATCTGTGGTCTGTTCGCGGTGGGCATCGAAATTCAATTTTTAGTGTTATAAGCCCTTAAACTTACCGAGGAGTCACCGCTGAGCTTCATGAGTCTTTATTTTCATTGTTTTTACGCTTTCTGTTATCACGATTATATATAGAAAAGTTAAAACATATGTTTAATGTTGTTGTTTTTTTTGTGTGTGTAAAACACTATTTGATTAGGTTTTAGGACCTACGTTAATAACTGCATATTTAGATCTGCTATGTGGCTTTTTAGCCCTCGAGCATACCGCTGAGCCACCCGAGGGATGGATAGCACTGGGGAGTAGATCTCATTTCAATCTTTTCATAACTCTACACACTTTCGTTCTATTGTGTCTTCAACCGAGCATTTGAGATACTAAGCGAATTATTTCGTCTATTTGCTGCTTTATAAATTCAAAGTCGAAACACTGAATGGTGGTTTGAATTTTGTGTCAGTCAATTCCGAAAATTGACTAGATATTTGTCTGTAGTCGTCAATGTTTAGTGACGATGAACACCAACGTTTCTTTAATGGACAGACAAACGCTTTTATCTTCTTTCTATCAGCCATCACTAGTTTAGAGGCAAGGAAATAAATTATGAACGATAGAGAAGAACATTTCAAGGTAATGCCACAGTAACTTCTAGAAACGCCTGCGGTGATAGAGCACGAATCTCTCTCTCTCTACCTTATTTTCTGATATAATTATGATCTAGTACGTGTGTTCTAGTTCAGTGTTACCTCATAACAAACCGGCTATCTAGCTACAACCAATGAAATTATCTAGGCCATGTAAACGTAGAAGCCACTATATAACAAATAAACATAGCAGAATCTATAAAAAGTGAACAATGCAGAAATACAGGAGTTTAACCTTCTTCACGAGATATTCTGTTGGAATTAGGAAATTTGATTATAGAAGTTGTAGTTTTATTGGTTTCAAAATATTAATCAGAAATCAACTTTTATGCTATAGAAATATTATTAGACCCATTGATTAGCATGCTAGACTATAGACCCGAGGGTCTATTGTTCGCGTCTCATTGCCACAAAATGCGCTCCATACTTTAGAGCTGTATGTGCGTTATAAGAGTGACCGTCAAATTCCACTATTCGATTAGAGTAGCCCACGGTTGGTGCTGTTTACCAGCTGACTTCCCTATAGGTTAATGGTTAAACATTAGTGATGGCTAGCACAGATAGCCTTTGTGTAGTTTTACTGGAATATTCGAAACACTCCACACACCATCAAAAATGATTTCAACTACAAACAGAACATTGCGTTATAAGTGAATATCTTAACTCTTTCCTTTTACTTATGGAAAGAAAACTAAAAATAAACAGACAGGCATACGGCGAAACTGTTCGTCCTCGTATCTCGACCTAGTCTTTATACCTAAATCTGAATAAGACGAAATAGAATAAGGATATATGATACCATAAATCATATATCCTGATACACGCCTTTGTCCCTGAAGTTGACATGGTGAAGATAGGATCAGAACGTAGGTTGGCATTAATCTTATGCTGATCAAAGTCTTCACACCTGAAGCTGAATAAGTTCAGATAGGATCACGAAAGTCGACTTGATTTAACAGAAATTTATATATAATCTATATACCAGAAAATAACACATATGAAAAAGTGGACACCGCCGATGTAAGCATATATGTAACACTTTTTAAGACACAGGCTTAATGGCCTTACTATGTTGGTTGTGAGAATTGTTTTTTGGTGTCAAACTTTTTTTTTTTTGAATGAAGGAGCGGGGGGTGGGGCAGGTCTTTTGACCAACTTACCCATAATGCTATGTAAATAAGCTGTAGTCTACCGCCTATCTAGACAAATCTATAACTAAACTTAAAGCAGCCATCCTGAAAACAGAGCCTGCGCTCGTTTACGAAAACATCATCTTCCGTATCGGTTCCAGAGTTTGAAGTCGTAATAGCATCATACGTGACCATGGTTACACAGTTTGTATAAATCTGCTGTACAAGTTTTTTTTTTTTTTATCGTTGTGACGAGATGAAATGGTGCCCGGCATGGCCAGGTGGTTAAGGGACTCGACTCGCAATTCGAGGGTCGCGGGTCATACCAAACATGCTCGCCCTTTCAGCCGTGGGGGCTTTATAATGTG